CTGAATATGGGATAAGAGAGAGCAGCTGAATCTACTAGGGAGATACACAATAAATAAAAGATTCACATGGATGGAAATAATCCTCACCTTACTCCTTCTGATTGCACTTGGAAAAATGCACCTTTCTGAACATTTTGTCAGTTCAGACTGATGGGGTTCAGCAAGTGAGGTACCAAATTAAAATAATTAAAGGATTAACACATCTCTTCCTCTTGGTCATATGTTTCAGGTCATGGAGCTCTAAGAGAAGCAGTTTTCTTAACATGAAATGAGCTCAAGTATAATGCAGTAAAGGTCTGCATACAAGAGAGGTAACAAAACATGGAACTACTGATCTGAAATAAACAGTGGATTTTCCAAGGCCAAAAAATCCTAACAAAACATACTTTGCATTTTTGTGACACATGCAGGCTCTGGATTTCTTTTGACTGCCTTCAAATCACACAGATCCAGCAAAACAGGACACCATTTGTTCCTAAAGATACAAGTGCTTCAAACTGGGAGTGGAGGGTGGTAGTGCAGGGGAGAATGTTCCAAAAGCCTCCATAGATGATGACTTCTAAGCAAGTATTTTCCAAATGTGATTCATAGGAAAGACGTTCAGTGTTTCTCAAAATACCTGATTAGATAGAAATCTGAGGAGCCAGGAGACCAGAAATGTCTTATCACATGCAAATTTAAATTCAATTATAGTATAAATGTGTTACAATAGTATCTTGAAATACACAAATGCTTTAAAGAAACCCCAGTATCCCTGCCTCGTTCAGTGCACAGTATGTACAACAGTGAGTTGTGAAACAGGTTATCAACATTTTTTCTGCACTCAGTTTTCAAAATGAGACTCCATCAGATTTTCATTCTGCTAGTAAGCCTCCTCCAACTTCTACGCAATACATAAATTATTCTTACCTTTTACTGATTAAATATAATTAGATTACATTTACTACTCTATTTCCTTAACATCTCTCTTCTAGTACTCATGATATACTATTCCAAGAGTTTTAAACAGGATTTTACTAACCAAAACTTGAAAACTAAAGAAGAAATTGTCCACCAATTCCTTTAAGTTCCTTACACTTAAATTCCTTAAAGGTCCTTCAATAGACATTCATCTTTTCTTTCAACTCAGGTTTCATTTAATCTATTCTTTAATTTCCAGAACAACAAATATAGCCATAACTACTGAATAAATCACCCTAAGACTAAACATTGCTACTATACTATTTTTATTTTTTTTTACATTTTCACCCAATATTAAATTTCTATTTAATGACAATGTTATTCTCCCCTTTCAAGTTCAATTGCATTTTCCTCTTGATGGATCTCCATATATGTTCTGAAATAGGGATACAAGCAAAGGGCATACAGAAGTCCTGGGAGTAAATACTCTCCTTGTTTCCTCACATAATACAGGGAAATAAGAAAAAAACCCACCAAAACAACTAAACCACAGCCAAAATCTTAAAGCAGACAAACAAAAATCTTTGATTAATAATCAGAGATTTTTCTCATTTTGACACAGAGCAAGTTGAAAAGCTACACAATTAGGTCTCCACTCATTCCAGACCAAAGCCCAGTACACCACACACAAACAGGAAGCACCACACAAGTCATCACACTATTCCAGATAACTTAGCTCTAGCATGAAAACTATTTGGGTAAGTTTCTATCTGTCATTTTCAGAGCAGCAGGGTGAGCTGTAGAACATTAGAAGTTTCTGAAATTCAAATCTCTGCTTTCATTCAACTTCCTAGGAAACACAGACAAAACTAGCTACCATGTAACATTGACTATGTGACTACCCTCACAGACTCCTTCCAAGCCACAAGATTTCAGAATAAGTGCTCCTTGAAGGCTGTGAGAAAGAAACCTGCCAGTCTCATTGCAATGTACTGCACAGTCAGTGTCCATCCTGTACTACAGTACAATCAAATACCAATAATGTCAATACCAACTTCATACCTAAAAAAAGTTTGCTAAATTGTACTGCAAATCAATTCAAAATTTGATCTAAAGTAAACTTAGATCTTAAAATTAATTACAGAAACACACATACATAAACAGGTAATTCACAGACACACACACAAACACCAGGAAAGAACCCCTAAGCTGCAATGTTAACCAGATCTTTTATTATTGATCTCCATGCCAAGTTTTACATCCTCCCTCAGGCTAGCAAAAACACCTATCCCAGTCAAAAAGAGGAAGAGATGTCAGGCAGTACACTTACTGTGTTTATATTCACAGCAACAAAAGCTAAGTCAGGCATTTTCCATTTGTTTAGTAAAAAGAGATCACGTCAATCCCATAGCTACACTTCTGAGTACTTGGAAACATCTCCCAGCTGTTAGAGGCAACTGAGAACTGAAAAACCATCTTTTGCCCAAAGTAAAAAGATATACACTAGTGTCATATAAATGATACACTCACAAAGGGAAAGAACCAAAACTGTGAACAGCCCAAAGTAAGAAGGGCATTTTCCTAATAATTCATTTTATAACTTATAAGGTGGCTCAATACACAAAAGATGGAATACAACCTCAAAGTCACCAGTTCCCATCATTAAGTTTGGGTGTTCACTTATCTCCCTCTGAATGATAGCCAGGTGAGAAAAGCCTACAGAAGAAACATATAAAATGGATACTCCTTATGGCCACACACAACATATATCTTTTATCTGTCAGGATTGTGCCTGAGAACCAAGATGTTACATTACTAATTACTAATCAGTAATGCCATTCACCAACTTTATCATCAAGCACATCTCATACATAATGAAGACTGCAAAGTGAAAAACTTCTGATCATCAGTATACAGACCCTTGTATCACCCACTCTGCTTTGTATATGCCCAATTTATACAAACAATTATGCTGCCTTAAGGTTCTAATTTCCACTGATGGAGGGGCATGCAAAATTACAAAATTTGTAACACACTGCTCCAATGTGTTACATTTCTTTTTCTAATGGTTACTAAAGAAAGAATAAACCCAAAACTATCTATCAAAGCTGTTCACATCTTTAAATTTATAGTTCAAGCTGGCCGGGATAAAACACAGATATAATTTCTTCCATTTTATTTGAAAATAAAAAGATGCTGAAAATATTGAGACAGGCTTTAACATGGGGAACCAGTAATCCTCTCTCTTCCAGACTTGAGTGTGTCATTTAAAAATACATAATGCAGCTCAAAATATCAGGACAAAGTTGTACATGCCAAGCTATTGCTGGCTTGCAGTCCAATGTTACTATCTTAAAAAGTATCCTTAAATCAAGTAAAGTGGGCCCAACACTTCCATTATTGTCAGAAAACTGAATGTACTGACATCCAACCAAAAAAAAAAACTCCGCATTGCCTTAAGTGAAAAAGCAGATGAGTACTATGTCAGAATATAATACACATCCTTAGAAACAAAATTACCTACATTCATGCTAACTAAAAAAACATGCGATAGCAAAAATGTTCTCATTTCCTGCTCTAAGTGGGACAGCAGCAAGGTTTTCCAAGTCATATTTCAAAGCTATGGTAAACATGTAACATACATTAAGCATAAGCATGTTCATCATATAGACAAAACACCCTGCTTTTACTGTAAGCTCTGCCTGTTTTAAGATACCACTACCACTTTTCTAATGGATCCTTGTTAAGCTGCCTACTTTTGCATTTGCAACAGTTTACTGTGAAAATGACCAAACTTCCTCCCCCTTGCATTCATTCCCTGCACAGACTACAATTTGGCCACAGCTCAGCTAGAAATCTCTATCTCACAATGAGCTACTCATTAGAGAAATACAGAATACAGTGCCTGAAAAAAACCACAACTTCCATCTTTTCACAGAGAAGTATTAACAGCAGTCTCATTATCCTTCTAATGTTTTCAAGAAACTATCAGAACTTACTCAACTATCAGAAATTAATTCTACTCTAGCATCTCCAGAGAAGCTCCTGCCTTTGTAAATTTCCAGAAAATATACTTTTAATATGCCGCTAAATAAGAACAAGAAATTAAATTAGAAGTAGTATCAAAAGCACAAATACAGACTTGGACAAAAAAAAAAAAAAAATTGAAATTAATGAGACACAGTTTGAAGTACAAAAAAAAATACTATTCAATTGCAAACATGGCACTAAACAGAAAGAAAGAAAATTCATTAATGAGTCATTATGTATTAAGTCAAGACTTAGTGTGGTCTCATTAGCCAAGTAGGTTAGACCTAATTAAAACAGTGCAAGATTCATATACAAAGACTAAACTGGCTGTTGCAGACTGTCAGGATTTTTGAGTGGGGCCTGACCACTGAACCTGCACAACTCTCAAGAAACTCTTGCTAGATACTTCCCACTTTTAAGCATGTCAGTGCTGTATATGCTTCAAGGTATTACAGTCTCTAAAGATGCTGTGAAAAAAAAAATCCAAATCCCTGCTTCATATTTACCTCCTGAATCATCATATCACCTGGTGTTTCAGCTGGCCATGCAGTACATACAGCATTTTCTACATGAACTGCTGCTGCGCATGCTATGTAGAGACTCGGGGAGGGACAGCAGGGAAGAAAACAGGTACCACATTCCACTCTCCTAAGCCAAACTATGTAACAAATTGCCCACAGGACACTAAAATACTCCAAAATCATAGGTTTCCAACACTTAGACCTAAAATGAAATGCCTTCAGTGGCAAAATACCATTCCAATATCAAACGTACCAAGCCACAACACTGCATGATTTTCACTCTGTTTGCTTGAATCTCTAGACTAAGGAGATTGAAGCAAATTCAAACAAGACAGACTTAAAGCTGAAGGAACCGAGTAGAAGTCTGCATGCCTTCTCTTTGAGGGAAAAACACTATGACTATACAAGTCTTGCTTTTCATTCTTTTATTTTACTCTTCTTCTAGCCCACAAAACACGCATGCTTAATCATAAAAAAGTATCTGAAGAACAATTCAAATAAAACCAAGGCATAAAATGAAAAACATCTCTTCAGCATTCAGCCTACTATGCTCTAAATGGTATGAGAAAGTACTAAAAAACTAAAAGGTTAAAAAACACTCACAATTAAGAGCTTCCTATTATTGCTGGCCTCCCTAATCCATGAGTGTCAAGGAGTCAAACATCTGTTCCTCTACAGCAAAACCACAATCAAGCAATGCATTTTTCATCCCACAAAATATTTGCAGAAAATGTTTCTATAAGCAAAATGCATAGCTGAGTTAAATAAACAACTTCTCATAGTATTTAAATCAAAATTAAAATCCCTCATCAAGCATCACAATTTGCAAACGTATTTTTTAACGAAGTGTAACTTCAAATCCAGCATAGCAGACTATCACATTAAGAACAGGTGCAGAAAGACTAAGCCCTGTTAGCATACATACCTTTGTCCTTCTTGAAGTCCAAAGCATCTTCCTTATCCGTCACTATTTCCTTCATGTTGATAATGCTTTGATGATTAAGCTGTCTAAGAATCTTAATCTCTCGAATAGCTGTGATTGGAAACCCTTCCTTTTCATTATCCAGGCGTACTTTCTTCAGTGCTACCATTTCCCCTAAGAGAAAATTTAAATAAAACCCATTAAGATTAGCAACCATACCATGGGATTTGGTATTGATTTGTATATGTTTGTTTTTTAACAACAAACATGATGCTTGTATCAAGCACTGTGCTGAACAGAAATCAGTACCATGTACAGAAGCAAAACTACAAATGAGAATTTTCAGCTGCACACTGTAAGCGCTGTTCTTCTTTGTCCTGCACAACTCACTCACATATCGTGACATTCCACACCATGTCTACCAGTAAAGAGTGATTATCTGCAGCAGCTTTAGAGACACAGGCCTGTGACTGCTCTGGATTTCTTAATACTGCATCACCACTGATCAGAATGTATATATCTAGCCAGAAATACTACGTAGTTCAAGATATGAGGCAGATGACTAAAGAGTTCTCAAATTCATCAGTATACTTTCTACAAGCACAAGTGGCACTGCCATTTTTACAGCGAGGACATTTTCCCTTACTATTTTACTGCAGGGCGGGTTGGATCAAACTGGATTCTACAAAATGGCAGGAATACGATCGACTCATGATGGAGGATGTCTACAGACCATAGATGCTAGTTCAATTGTTTTGTTCTTGGAAGTTTACTGCGGTATATGGGATGTTTACTAACAGCCCAGATGTCTTTGTTAGTTCTAAAAGTACCTATCCTACACTAACTTACACAATTCACTCACAAGAGATTGTATCCCAGCACACCACCCCATCCACCTGCTCTGAAAGCCCACGACACAGCTTCTTCTATGGTATCTCAAAGGCCTTAATGCCACTCTCCACACAGGTTTTGAATCCAAAGCTAATAGATCTGCTTGCTGTACCTGTACGAATGCCTTCAATGCAGAAAGCAACAACTTCTAGGGGAGGTTAAGAGACAACTGTGAAACACAAATAACTTCAAGTTTGCCAAAAAGGCAATATGGTTATGGCAGGATTAAAACGCAAATGTGCAAATAAGAGAACTTCAGGAGATCCTAACAATCTTTGCAAAGGTTCTCAAGGTATAGGTAAAAATCTAGTTCAACTAGAATCTAGTTCAAAACTGAGACCAGGACAGGCAAAGAATGAAGAAGGATTTATAATTACTCTGCTTATTCTTCTAGCAATCAGAAAGAAGGAACTGAGGCTGGTATGTGGTCCTATGGGATTCAGTTACTGATGAAGTAGAAAATGGTCCAGCACTCAAAGCACGCACAAATAAGCCAGAAGGGCAAGCAATCATGGAAAGAACTACTAACTGAACACAAAATAATCATACAGCATATATAGAGAATCTGGATAATCTATTTAGAAGTAGTGACAATACTATGTATCATATTGGTGACTGCTCACTCATTTCAAAAATAGTTTAACATGAAATTAAAAAATAATGTCACTGTTGTAAAGTCAATTATATTGCAAGAATGTCCCATGTGCAACTCTTCAGGGCTGTGTTGCACAGAAGCAGATTCTCCTCCTACTATATGAACTATTGACTACTGGAGTACAAAAAACCGTGACCAAGTTTTATGCATAGCTTCTTTCACAGTTACATCCCTTTACAAACTTCATTACAGTTTGCCAACCTGTCTAGTGTGACATTTAGCTCCCACATGATATTTATCCTCTCTTCTTTACTAGTTTAACTTGATACAGAGTATGAAAACTTAAAAAATAAGAATTAGAATTTAAGACTACTCGGCTTGTTTTCAGCCACAGCTTTATAGATAAATGATTTTCCAATGCAACAAACCGTAACTTCTGATTTAGACAAATGCTAGACCTAAAACTGAACACACCAACAACTAAAAAATTCCCAAACATAAGAGGGCAGAATACCACAAATTTTACTCAATATAAAACAAAAACCACAAACACCCTGTTCATTTAAATTGTAGGATTACATTTACTTATTTTGAACTCACCTGTATCTTTATCTCTGGCTTTGTAAACTTGCCCATAAGTGCCTTCACCAATAATACCAATGATATCAAATTTATCCACACAGCGCTTTCCCCAGTCTATTTCTTTTTCTTTCGTTTCACCATGTCGTGGTCCACATATTCTAGAAAGCAACAGATATTTTTAAGAATACAGCTAGTATATCTAGGCATTGTCTTAACTTTGAAGACATCCTCAACACTGAGACATTATTAGTTAACTGTCTTATTACTATTAAGTGGCAATAAACCATGCTGTTTGAGTCAAGCCACATTAACATTAAAAATGTCAAAAAGCAGAACTCTTTGGACAAGAACATATTTTAAAGAAACTATTATTATTTCTACTTGCTTGATAAGCTTTAAAAACCGTTTGATAAACATACTTTGGTCTTCTCTTGCTATGTAACTGAACTGCTGGTTTCTTTTCTTCAGGACTTTTGGGTACCTCAGCTCCTCCAGGCAACTCAGGTGGAAGTGGCAAGTCTGCAAGCAGATGACGAAGTTTCTTCTCCGTTTCTTTAACCGTCTTCACTGAAACATTCTCTCTCAAACTATTAAAAAAACCCATCATTTTGCTAAGTTGAATAATTAGTTGAAGATAGATTAACATAAAAGCAAAAAAAATTTTTTTTTTTAAAAACAAACACATTCTAGACTGTCAATACACCAACACTTGTAATCTGTGCTCTTAAAATTTGCAGGACTTGGATAAATGACTCACAAATAGCTCTTTGGCAGATTCACAGTTAACCACCACATTCTACACAACTGTAAAATCAGACCTTTCTGGTGAAAGCTAAGGTCAGATGACACAGGGAGCCTTACCAGGCCAGACTTCTTCTGCCACATAAGCTTCTTTCCAAGCTTATGGTCTAGACTATTGAAAATATTTAGAGCTCAGGTGCTGCCAGACATCAGAAGTACAGTGGTAAAATTCCTACTATGACTTTTCATATAAGAGACAAGATCTGACTAACCCAGCTCTCCCTAAAATTGGTCTCCACAGATAATGAGCATCACACTTACATTAACACTGCAGGGCATTAAGAGGCTGTCCACATCACCTAATTTACAAATTCTAATTGCATACATCTGCTGAAACACTCCAGATTCAGCACATTTCTAGTAATCAGCATGCATATCAAGTGGGGGAAAAAAAAATCAGATGAAAAAATGATAATGATTTTCTGACACGGGTTACTGATATCTGACTGATTTTTAACCAACCATAATTAGATAAGAGATACTGTCCATCTCTGTCTTGAGAAAAATCTCTAAACACATATACAGCATCTTTTAACAATTACAAAATTATCTTAGAAATGCTCTTTCCATTCTAATAGGGAATCATAACTGCTGCAGGGTTTTTTTTTAAATACATGGCTCCATTTTACCAGAACTTCTTTTAGTTTAGCTGGATTTGTTCAGTTACTGCATATCCAGTAATTTTAAAGCCATGACCATCTCTAAACTTCATGTAATCACATAATTGCTTCTCCCCTACAGGACTCTCACTCTTAACTTCCATCACTGTATCAATAAAATTTAAGTCAAGCTTTGAGTGAACGTTTTCTAAGTTAGCGGCATTTGCCAAATTGCATGATTCATCCTTCTCTGTGACAGTTCTTCTACAACTTCTTACCTGCTTAGTTTCACAGACGAAGCAGGAGCTTCTCTAAATGGAAATATATTTCCAACTCCCATAATAGAGAATGTATAAATTTTTTCTTACTTTTCTTGCAATGAGTAATCCTTATATATTCAAATAAAGCATTCCAGTGTTTTGCATATGTCTATATTTCTCTGTGAAAACTGAACACTTTTACATCTTTTACCATTTCCTAAACTGCCACAGCCCCATTTTCAAGAAGCATCACAAGGAAGCACAAAATGCCCTCTCCACAAATATAATGGTTAACATGCCATAAAGAATAAACCACCCTTGAGCAGTGCAGGTAACTGCCATGGCAATAAAATACTCTTATTTTTAAAATTCTTATATTAGTATTTCTCTCATAATTTTCCCACAAAACTTTCAATATGAGTGAAAGCATAACATATGGAAGTTTCTGACATAGATTTTGAAAGTGGCACATGAAAAGCCAAGAGCAGCCTTTTTTTTTTCAGGTCTACTAAATCACACATCATTGATGACATGGGCAATTTTCCCTTTCAGCTAACCTGCACTGTGGGGTTGCAACACTGATGTTCCCTTAGGTCACGTGTTTGTCAGTTTATGAGATTGTTACTGAAGGAACCATACAGTTTTGCACAGCATCAAGCTTTCTTTGTTGACACAATTTCCCCATACTAACTCAGAGCCCAAGGCAAATACCTTTGCCCTCCGCCATTAAAAACATATTTTATAAATAAACATGTTTATAACATTTTATAGGCAAAACTAAGCAAAGCATAAAAGACATTTCATTACTTCTCATTAATCTTTCTAATGCAGCTGTTTGCATGCAGTAGGCTTTTTGTTTTGAAAAGAGAATGAGCTCAGTGCTGAAAGAACCACTGAATAATTGCAGTTTAACTCATTTTACCCAACTTAAAACAGGTAATCCATTAAAATATAACAATAATCAGAAGCAATCAGCCAGCTTCAAGATGAAATCTTATTTCATGATGTTGCAATTAACGCAATGCCATTCATATTTAAACTAGATAGACTAGTTACTAGATAACACAGTAAATCTTACTTACAGTGTTAGGATTCTCATTTACTTAGGATGGCTTTGTCACAAATGTAAATGCAATTATACATTTGCTACACCTTTATTACATTTGCTAGTTTAATGCTGAAGGGCAAAAAACTATTTCTTTTTTACAACTAAAAAAAAAAAAGAAAGTAACTGTCTAATACTATGTTAAGTTCTATTTATTTCCCAAGGCCTTCTATGCACCCTTAATGTTTTATACAAACTTAAATTACTAGCAAACACAAGAGAAACATTTTCACCTCCAGGTAAAAATTTCTGGCTTAGTTGTGATTTCTTGCATACATATGAGAGGCATGTAGCACCTTCAGTAAAACAAAATTTAAAAAACCCAGTAACTTCTCTAACAGCATATATTTCTAATACAAATCACCTTACAGATTCTCTGTTAGGCCTACAAATAGACTTAACATAGTCTAAAAATTCAGATGACACTTGGAACACAGAAATTAATTTCTTTACTACAGACCAATTTTTACACTTCAAAATTAACATAAATGACAAGCCATGAACCTCACTTTCATTATACATACTCAAAATAATACTGACCTTTGAAATAAGTTACAGAAAAATAACACCTAGCTATAAAACAATTGCCTTTAAAAGGGAAGAGAATCTTTGCTTCAAACACCAGCTACATAAAGAATTTTCACATATTGCTACAGAATTCAACTTTTTCCCAGAATTTTCACACCAAACTTGAAAGCCTGAATCCTTGAATGTATCCTTTCATTAGTCCCAAATCTATTATGTACCAGCAATTTTTAGAACATTTCTTTAGTAGACCTTTTAAAGATTCTTCTTAGACCAAACTTTTTTTTCAAGAACCAATTAAATTATTTTTAAGATCAAATTCCTCCAGTTCACTAATAATCACCAGTCAAACAGCTGAAAAGCAAGAACAAATTAAATAATGCATTAGCCTGATCTAGCATATAGTTTTATATTTATTTTCCAAAGGAAATAACAATAACCATAAAAAGGAACAAACAATCCCAAAAGCAAATCTCTGTCACAACTCACCTATCAGTTTCTTTATCTTCAGGCAGCGTGGGAGGCAAAGGCAAGGGTGGCAGTGTGGAGGTTGGTAATGCAACAATTCGATCCTTCTCCTTGGCTACTACACTTGGTGTACTTGTTTTGCTTTTCTCTTTTACAGGGACTGGTGGCTGTTTCACAACAGGCAATTTACTCTCTTTTACTGCTGCAGGCTTCTGTTTAGTAATTTTGTCTGCAGTTAAATTATTTTCCGCTTTTGTTTCAGGAAGCGAGACTTTCGCTTTTGCCTTGTCGTTTTTCAGATTTGCACTGCTGGTAGGTGAGGGTGTATGCTCTGTTTTTATTTTCTTCAGGTCCTTAACATTGTTCACTTGAGGTGCACTTACAGCAGTGTCAGTGTTTCCTTTAGTAGGTGTTGAAGTATTGGAAGCTTTTGCACTGGCTTTGGCTGCCTCAGCAGCTCTTGCTTTTTTGTTTTTGTTCAGCTCAGCAGCTAGGCTACTCTTAAGAGTCAATGTACTAGGAGAAATACTTGAATGACGACTTCTGGATCTAGATAATCTGTGTCTGCTACGAGACCTGGAGTGCCTTGATGAATATGGACTTCTGCTTCGAGATTTTGCTGATCTCCTGTTTCAAAAAAGTAAAGATTTACCCAGGTAAAATTAAGTCTAGCTGCTCTCCCAGTACATCTACTTTTTTGACAAATTACATTTCTTAAATAAACTATTATCACCATGCCCACAGAATAAACACGAGTCTATAAAATAGGAAAGACCATGCATTAAAAAAATAAAAATCCATAGTTAATTAATCAAGACTCTATACCTTTCTGTTAGAAAACATTAAAACTCTTAGATGTAGTTTCTCCTCCCACACAACTGCGAAATACAATACTTATATGAGGCAAGAAATGTTTTGCTTTCCTCACTACTTAATAGATATTTTAATCCTTAAAGAAAATTTCAATGTATGTAACTTGTACAAACACCTTTAGTATATACAGTATTTGAGAAAAATTCAACTCACTGCATAGTCAGAAGTCAACAAAATTAAACTAAAATTACAACAGGACAAGAGAAATCTAAACAACACTGAAGCATTAATTGTAGGAACTTCTGAATTTTCACTTCCATAAATATCATTAAATTAAGTTAACTGAGAAAAAAAATGCAATTTTAAAGCAAAAAAAGCTGCAATGTAGCCCACTGAAAGACAGATATCCTTTTTTAAATTTAATTTTACAACTTCAAATAGAACCAAAACAAATAACCTTCCCCCCCTCCCAAAAAGCCCAAGTACCCAATATTTTTTGGGTACAAACAAGCAAACATAACCCACAAATGGGCCTATGCTATAAAAGTGTCTGGATGCAAACACTAATTGAAAGAAGAAGAAAAAAGCAAACCTAAGCTGTCTACAAAATCATAGCAAGAAAATTGCCTAGAACTGGTGGGGGGGAGGGGGCAATCTTAAAGTTCTACTGTACAAGAATACCATTTCATATGAATGACTTTTCATTCAAAATTTCAAAAGAATATTCTAATTTGCCTAGTACTAGTTTTGAGTCAGTTGTTCATTAAGAAATAAACGGAAAAATATTAATCGAGCTGAAAGGCATAGAACAAGTTAAATAGTCTAATCCACTGCTACCACACTGTAATGTTATGAAATAAATTAAATTAAATGTAAGGGTTTTAGTCTATTTTACCATACCAAGAATAACAAGGATATTCATCAGATTTACAAGTATTTTCTTGATTAAAGTTTGATGGAAATCTATTTTGTTTATCATTTGAAGAGGAGGAAAAAGCATACTCAGGATTAAAACCACCCAGTATTCATTAGCTGAACAAAAAAAAAAAAAAAGTATCAGCAATAGCAAAAATATGACTTCCCAAAGAAACAAGAATTTCAGAGTTCAAAAGACAGCACCAGTGTATGGAGGTTGCCAAAACAAAAGGAAATAAAAACCCAAACCAAATCAACAAAAAAAAAATAGAAACCAAATAAAAAAACAAAAAAAGAATGCAAACTACAACCCCTATGATCAGGACTACCCATCCCACACCAAATTTAATTTTACTGACAATTAAATCAATTAAGTTTTAATTAACAACACAAGAAATTTCATCTCAATGCTTCAACTGAACAAATATTTGATCTTGTGCAGTAACATTTCTTTTGTGTTCAATAGTGATTAATTTCTAAATTTACATTCTCTTATTTTTATAATGCAAGAACTCTTACCCAAAAAAAAGTCACTCAGATCAATCAAAAAGTGACTGAAAATAATGTGTATGCACACTGTACAGTACAGCACAAGCTTCAAAATTTTACAGGTGAAATTATCCAAATGGCTAAAGACTCATGAAAGAAAAGAAATCAAATCCCAGATGAAGATAACTCTTGGAAGCTACAACAGTTCAATTCCATGCCAGGGAGCAGGTTTTATAGGATTTTCTGCCACAGCAAGGTAACAATGACAGATAGTAATAATAATAGTAATAATAATAATCCTGAAAGATTTTTACTCTTTAATTGAAAAAAGCCTCACAGTTCTCTTCTAACAATTTTCAACCAAAATCTGATGCTTGGTTTATTCAGTAAAGAGATATTAACGTTCATGTCTAATAAACACCAAATAAAATCATAATATTGGGCACAAAAATTCCACTGAAAACTCACTTCTTCTCCATTATGAATCCTGTTGCTGAATTATTTTTTCTCATTATTTTGAAAATCTAAGTACTAAATCCCACAGAATGTTTTCAGAAGTTTGGCTGAACAGGAGTAAAACTAAAAAGGTACAAAGTTCCATTATACAGTTAAGCCAATGTAGCAGGAACAAAAAGGGAGAAAATCTAGAAAATACACACACTTCAAATGCTAGATCAGAGCTCTCCTCACACCGCTATCTCACTTTTTTAGAGGAATTACTGTAGATCTCGAACAGAAGTGTTACTGCTGCAGATCTGCACCCACCCCAGAATCAGTATAATTACATATCTCCAGCATCAAGCACAAGCTAATAGTCCCTGTTAGTCCTAAACTGACTTCTATAAATGGTGCATCATTTGCAAGGATGTCACTGACCTGTCTTGGAAAAAATTTCCTTGCATATCTTGTTTTGAATCAGCTATTTCAGACTGACTCTCTCTCCAATTACCTGTAGAACATAACCTCCATCCCAAGTACTTCACTGCAACCCAGACTAAATTTAAAACATGCCCTAAAGGTCTCAAAATGAGCCCCATTTCTTTCATAAGTATGATATGAGGTTTCTTGTTCGTTTTGATTGATACCTAATGTGATTACTTTCTTTGTTAAGTAATAAATACAGACATAATTTCACATGCAGTAGAAAAGAGAAGTAGCAACTTAAAACACAGCTGGTGAGACACCATGCCTGATTTTCAGACTGGTTCTGTTCCACTTCAGTACAAAAAAACACAGCTTCATTTAGCTCACTACTAAGGATAAAATGAAAAAATCTGTTCAGATCAGTGACAACTAATTTGATCATCTGATCAGCTACCACAACTCAGTGAGGAAGAGGCAGTTCTGAAAACCTAGGACAAAAATAACCTAAACTTCTATACTTCAAATAAGAATCGACAGTGGATTGATGTCTGTACTTTACCAATACTAGTCATGAGAGTTTGTGAAATGAACGTGAATTTATGTAAGCTCAGCTAAAAAAACCAAACCAAACCAAACCCAACTATTGTCCATTGTGGGTTTCACACTCCACATGACAACTGCATAACTTTTTCATGTCAGAACTGCATTCATGTGGGAGACAGCAGATACGTATGCACATAAATAGTTAAGATTCAGTCCCAGTACCTATTACAGACCTCAACAGCAGATCAAAATGATAGCAGCCTAGTTATGAAATATGTTTCTGATTATAACCTCTGCACTGGTTTAAATTTTCCAACACTCTTCATTATTTATGTTAGAAAAAGCTATTATATTACCTATACACAGTACCTTTAGCATCCCAAAAACCTTAGCAAAAATCCCTTGCTGTACCTGAACCACTGAACTGGACCCTATATAATACAGCAAAAACATTAACATTTTCAACTAAACAGACAAATCCTGAATTTTAAGTAAAAAAGCAGATTTGTCGAAATGCTAGTTGTTTAAGTTACAATAAAACCTGCTGTTGTCATAAGCCTAATAATCTTTTCAAACACCCAACTATCACTTACTTTCATCTGTGTAGTTCAGAAATCCCAACAGACTAAACAACTTATGTACAAGTTTTCACCTATAAAAATGGCACAAACCCAAAAAAGGGACACATTTACAACCTTTCCCTCAAAAGCTTATGCAGCACTCAAGAGTGAAGAACTACTGCCTTATACATAATAAAACCAGCCAGCTCACTCTGTTCACTTGACATGAAAGATGAAGTCACAGCAGCACAGAAATGTGCTCACACAACAGCCAGTGCCTGCCAGTTAATAGGACACTGGCTACCTAGTGAGACCCTGAAAAAACACCAGGAGAGACATCTGAGGTACACGGTCTAAATCTCCCAGCAGGTCTCTATTAAATGTGTGTGCATGCATACACATACATGTAAAATGCCTTATCTGACACCAACTATTTCAGACATAGTCAGCAGCTTTTAACACAGAAAAAAAGGAACAAAAGAATGATGGCTGCAATTGCCCAGATCTGAAAAAAGCAAATACATCAAAGAACACAATTCAAATTTCTCTTCCTGAAGTAAAGAGAGATCAGGAAGTTTACTAAACCTAAAGGCCATATTTCACTCTCTTAAAAAAAAAGCACCAGCATGTGCTGCTAACACACAAGGGGAGAGGCAAATAAGATGCCTAAGTTACTAAGGAGATAATTTTCCTTCGATGCTTCTCCCTGTTTGCACCCAGAAGTTCTGCCCCATTTTAGAGTACCTTTGCCACATAAGTCATTAATAGTCTTCTATCAGCACCTTCAATTCACTTCACACAAGTGTAGATTCCTACAGACAGGACAACTGCCACACTTCATGACACTTGGAAAACCACTTCTGAGCCATATACAGATGTCAGTGTGTTTTTATATATGGAAGAGACAAAAAGAAAACTGATATGCCTTAAGACCAGAAGTATCAGTAATAGAAGTTCCAAAGTTGCTTTGTTTCTTCACTAGAGACAGCAATAAAGAAGCCTGTGAGCACAACTAAACCTGCTGCAAAGGAACATGGAAAAAATTACATTTTAGCTATAGCTATAAAAGGAAAAAAACACAGACACAAAAAAAAGTTAAGATATTATCTACAAATCATATAGGAGAAAAGGCAAATTTAAAGGAAGTGATAGAGTAATAAAGCACTAGTAAGGAAGCCACATTGAAACCAAAACTCCACTTTTCAGACCAAGAAAGCTCACAAAAGATGGGGGGGGAAAAAAAATAATGTTGGTTTAGGTATCACAGTTGCCTTTTTAATTTTTTGGTTTTGCCTAGTACCCAACATTTCATCAAATAAACAGGAATTCATTCTCTGCTTCATACAATGTACTTAGTCACTTTACAAAAAAACTACTTAAGAGATCAAAATGTTTTGAATTACAGGTTTCAAAACTGTTACGTTTGCAACATTCTATTGCACT